ATTGTTCGAACCTACTCTGTGGGTGTGGCCTCCTTTGTGGGAGTGGTTTGCCACCCATGTGACCGGATGGGAGTGGCTTGCCACCGATGTGACCGGATATGAAGATGCCGACGACACTTGTCAGAACCACCTTAAATTACCTCACACACAGCACTGGCATGCATAAGAATANGGCAGTTTACAATATTTAAAAAAACCAACATTTTACAAAATCTATACACAATAGAAATTAAGTAATAAAAAGATAAATACACAACTCTAATAAAAAGATGGGAGGGAGGGAATAAGATGAGCAGGAGCGGAAGGGTGGGGGAATCTGTCATTAGTCCGTCAATCACCCCCAATGTGAAGGCCTCCCATTGGAGCTCCAAGCCAACTTGCAGTGCCAGGTCTTTAAGCCTGTAGAAGGTCAGGAGGGTTGGAGCTGATCTCACTCTTGAGGATAATGATGTGTCATTTGCTTCGACTATTCATCAAATTATTCATTTGCATCAACTCCACAAAAAAAAAATTGCAGGGAATAATAGCAAGCGTTGTTAATCAAGATAGGACAAGACTGCCTACTCCTGTTTTAGAGGGGTAGCCAGTAACTAGGAGGCCATAAATTACAAGGTTTAAAGCTCTGAGAAGAAAGTTTTGACATTCTGGCAAAACTGGTCAACAACTCATATGTAAAACTTTGTGTGCTCTGTGAACTGATTTCATCCTCTGCCAACTTTGCTAAAATGTTGTTTTCATTAAGTGCCCTGAAGTGTGCCTACTGAGTTTCAAACTTTAATTAATACCCACTAGAAACATTTGTAGGCAGGACATCATTTGTACGGAGACAAGACTGTTGATCGCGAAGTTAGCAATCCATGAAGTTTCCACATGTGATAAAAAAATGAAAGCCAATTCCTACAATTAAAATGTTGCTCTTGATTTCCGACACGCTAGGAAAAAATGGGAAGGAAAAAAGAAGGTGAAAAGGGAGGAAACTCTTTGAAATCTTCAAGCTGTCGTATGTTTTCCATGGAAACAAAAGCAGAGACACAAGTTTGTAACTTGTTGGTAAAAGCACAGCTCTTTTATGACAAATATATTTTTGTAGCACTTTTACATGATTTAGGAAGGGAAAGGGATTATTCCAATAAATTAGTTATCTAAATTGTGAAAACCAAGGAAATTGCTCTGCTTATATGTTCACAGCTACTAAATCTAGATTTATTGAAGGTCTAAACAGACTTTGTGTTCCATTGGTCTCTTAAAACTGTTTGACTGTCCCATTCTGCATTTCTTTCTCATAAAGGCCACATAGACTGCCTTCCAGTATGGCATTAAGTATTAATCATTCATTACATCCATCACCAGATTATACCTCCTGAGGATCAATCCAAGAATTGGAGAGTAGATTCCTATCTCCTGGGTTCCCCCCACCTTCATAATTATCTTTCCTTGTGCAAATGTCTTTTTCAAATTTCCTATCTATATTCTGCGGCTAGTAGAGAAGAAGAAAAGGCTAGTCCTCAGTGAACCAATGTTATCAAATTTACATCCAATCAAGTTATGTGTTACATATAAAAATAAATGCTGCCTTTGCTTTCAACTTTCTTACAGTTGTAGGCTGTCTGTGTTACAGACATTAAGGAACAATTCTTTTTTCCCCCAAAATGCCCATTTGTCAAAAGGTGTTTCAATATTCCAAAACATATTCCTGGACTATTGATATTCAATTGATACTTTGCGGTGAGGTCTTGTTAAAACCAGGGACACGGTGGCTCAGTGGCTAAGACATTGAGCTTGTTGATCGAAAGGTCAGCAGTTCAGCAGTTTGAATCCCTAGTGTCGCATAGTGGGGTGAGCTCCCGTTACTTGTCCCAGCTTTTGCCAACCTAGCTGTCCGAAAGCATGTAAAAAATGCAAGTAGAAAAATAGGGACCACCTTTGCTGGGAAGGTAACAGAGTTCAGTGCACCTTTGGCATTAGTCCATATGACCACGGAGGCGTCTTTAGACAGCACTGGCTTTTTGGCTTTGAAATGGAGATGAGCACCGCCCCATAGAGTTGGTAACAACTAGCACAGAGGTGGGTTCCTACCAGTTCGCACCTATTCGGTAGAAGCGGTTCGTCAAATCTATCGAACTGGTTAGGTTCCACCAGTGAACCCGGAAAGCAGGCCACACCTACAGAAGAGGTTCCAAAAATTTTTGAAACCCACCACTGGCATGGATCTTGTAACTTGACAGCTTTAAGACTTGCATGCTTCAATGCCAGAGTTTCTGAATAGCTACTTGAACCGATCTAAGTACTAATTCATAATTTCATATCTGGTCACATGGGCGGCAAACCTCTCCCATCCGGTCACATGGGTGGCAAGCCACTCCCACAAAGGAGGCCACACCCACAGAGTAGGTTCCAACAATTTTTGAAACCCACCACTGAACTAGCACATATGTGTGAGTGGAACCTTTACCTTTACCTTGTTAAAACTGGGTTAACATTGCTGCTGTGGCAACTTTGCCATTGTGACAAACAATGGATAAATTGGGGGAAAACATTGACATGTTCTAACCATTCCCCAAACTTGTAGTCTGTTTTTTTCTTCCAGTTATTGAAAGCAAAGTATCCCACAGCCTTTTCAGCTGGCACTTACCAAAGAAAGTAGTAGTCAATTTCTTTACCTTTAGTTCATTCCAACTAGTTGATAGCCTAATCATGCTATGTAGATAACAAGAAACAACTACTTGATAGTCATAACAAAGTTAATTGAGAATGGAATCAATGATGCTTACTATAATAAGCTGTTGTGGCCCAGCAGGAGCCATTGGAGCTGCCACCAGACTCCGACAGTGAGGGGCTCTATGAGTCGGCCCTGGAGGATGTGGAGGACCCTGGACAGGGTTCTGACTCCGAGCAGGGCGCAGAGAGACTGGTTGGCCACCAGGTGGCGCCTGAGCCTTGGATCAGTGGGGAGGAGACAAGGGAGAGTGATCCAGAAACCAACAGTGAGTTGTTCTGGGATACACGCCGTCGAAGAGCTACTCGGCGTCAAGAACAATTACATAATTACAGGAGGTAATTACGCTCAGCTGATGGTCATTAGGCTCCTCTCCAGACTATAAAAAAGACTGCTTGTGTCATGCCCTTCTTGCAGAAGTCAACGCTTTGACTAAAGAGAAACTAACTTGGCAGGCTGGATTGCTGCCAGAGTTTGTCTGAATTGCTGCCAAGGTCCTTATCTGTTTGTTTACTTGGCTTTCAGCCACTGAGAGTTTGGTCTTGCTATTAAAGGACATTCCATTTAAGCTTGTCTCGGCTTTCGTTACTGGATGGAGGAGGGGTCAGAACAGTAAGTACTGGGTTCATGGTGCCGCCATTTTGCCAACTGTGTTTTATGGCTTTACTGATTTTCTGGAACCTGAAAACTGATGCCAATAATATTGAACCAGAGGGTGGACCTTTTCTGAACTGAAATAAGGCAGCTTTGTTATCCTAAATAGCTAATTGGTTGAGCAAAGTTCTAAAGACGGCAAGATAGAAACAACCTGTTTTCTGACTTCTGTTTAACTTTTCATTCTTCCATCTTTAAGTTTACCCTAATCCATTTTGCATCAGTTTGTCATTTATTAGTTTTGAAGGTTGCGTTAAATTTTGTCAGACTTCCATTCTACTTCTTCTATTACTTCTACTGCATATGCACATATCTCCAAGCTATTTTTCTTAATGCAATTTTGCTCTCTCTATATATTCTGTGAATATTTTTATTGCTTCTTAGAAAATCAAGTTGCATCACAAAAGAATAATTCAGACATAGATGTGTCTGGAAACATATGAGCTTGCTAAATTTGCATTAACGTATGAAATTTATTAATCTATCAAACAAATTTATGTGGCTGCCCAACTCACACATGGTGACCCTGGGCAATAGACATAGAATGGAATCAATTCTCTTCATTGCATCAATACATGAGAGAAGGAAGTTGTGAATGACCATGCTCTAGATCAAATCATTAAAGAGAAACCTACCCAACCCAACTTTTCCTAATATACTAGCTCCGTGATGGCAAACCTATATCACCCGTGCCACAGGTGGCACATGGAGTCATTTGTCAGGGCATGCAAGACATTGCCCTGTCAGCTGGCCAGTGTGCATGTGTGCACTGGCCAGCTGCCCTTGACCTTCTTCTGAAGCCATTTTTCACCCTCCGGAGGCTGAAGCCTCCGTAGCGCGAACAACTGGCCCTACAGGCAAACCGGAAGTTCGGGAATGTACTTCCGGTTGCTCATGGGGCCGGTTTTAGCCCTCTGGAGCCTGCAGCCTCTGGAAGTCCCCTGAAGGCTATGGAGGGCTAAAACCAGTCCTATGAGCAAACCAGAAGACTGTTGCCGAACTTCCGCTTTACTTGTAGGGCTGGTTTTTCATGCTCCAGAGGCTTCAGGGAAGCTTCTGAAGTCTCCGGAGGGCCTCCGGGGGGGGGGGAGGCTGTTTTTGCCCTCCCCAGGCACTTATAAAGTCTCTGGAGCCTGGGGAAAAAAGCACGGCAAAAATTGGGGGGAGGGGCAAACTGGTCATGTGTGCATGCATGCTGGGGTCTTGCGCATTGCATTATGGAAGTGGCACACCCATGGACGACTCCCCCTGCGCTCCCCCCGCTTTTGGCACACGAGCCAAAAAAATGGTTCACCATCACTATACTAGCTGAAGTGACAGAAATCTCTTATGCCACAACATGGGGACTATTGGCACTGATGTTTGGTCTTTCCTTCATGCTGAGCTGAAGTGCTGTCAACCCATATAAGGCAGTGGTGGATTTCAAAAATTGTTTGAACCTACTCTGTGGGTGCGGCCTCCTTTGTGGGAGTGGCTTGCTGCCCATGTGACTGGATGGGAGTGGCTTGCCGCCCATGTGACCGGATATGAAGATNGTTAGGTTACAGCGCGCTTCTGTCGGCACGCTGTTGTCGGCACGCTTCAGTGCTCATTCGTCTCCGCAGTTTTGACGGCGCGGTTTTGTCACCGCGGTTTAGTCACACACGCTTTTGTCATACGCGCATTTGTGGTGGAACCTCTAACAATATCAAATAACAGTATGAATTTGGACTTAAGAGCAACCTGCTTATTGGAAATAGAGAGGATTTCCTTTCTATCTTCAGCCCCTCCCTCCCTAACCTGCTGATGATGCTCTTCATCTGGCTGTCCTTCTCCTCCTGCTGCTTTCGCAGACGCTCCTTGCTGTCTTCCATCAGTGATCTATGCTCTAAAATGAGCTTCTGCATTTGTTGTTCCTGCACGAGGAGACGCTGCTCGTACTCCTCCAACCGGCGACTCGATGCCTTCAGGCGATCCTTGAGCTTGACAATCTCTTGCTGATACTGAAGAACGGGAAGGAAGGGAGATAACGTTTTTTCATTATTGATTCATTCATGAGCCAGTTTCCAGGGCTCAAGGCAGCACAACAGAACTAATATAAAGCCGTTCCTAGAACCTTTGAATTTCTTCCATTTCTTTCTAAATAAGAAAACATCAACAAAAACAAAACAATTGAAGCCAGCACCGCGAGAAAGAGACAATTGAAAGCCCTAAATAAATTATTTAAAAATAATTTCATTTCAGAAACACGTAACTTTTTTTCATACATGGAACTGGCATTTCAAACAGGTCCTACACTGATATAGGTGTATTACCAGCTTCCCCCTAAGCATGTTGGACTCAAGTTGTAAGGAGCCGAGGTGGCGCAGTGGTTAAATGCAGCATTGCAGGCTACTTCAGCTGACTGCAGTTCTGCAGTTCGGCTGTTCAAATCTTACCGGCTCAGGGTTGACTCAGCCTTCCATCCTTCCCAGGTGGGTGAAATGAGGACCCGGATTGTGGGGGCACTATGCCGACTCTGTAAACCGCTTAGAGAGGGCTGAAAGCCCTATGAAGCGGTATATAAGTCTAACTGCTATTGCTATTGTGAAGGGCTTTATTAACATGTGAAAACACCGAAATGAATCTAGAAACATACAGGCAAACATGGCCAGTATGAAGAAATGAGTTCAGACAGATTGACTCATTGTCACTAAACTATGCAGCCCTTTATTTTTTAGCTGGAGCTTCTGAGTTGACTTCCAAGAACAATACAGGAGGAAATCTTGAAGGATGTGACAGCGTGGATTAGTTTTTTTTTAGTAGCCTGAGTATCCAAGAACGGGTCCAGCAAGAAAAGCAAGAGAAGCAGCCACATACTGCTTTTACAAGAGCTCGAATTAAAAAATAAACTCTTTTACAAACTTTTTAAAAAGGAAACCGAATCCCAAAGAATAGGAAAATTAGTTCAATGGTTTTGAAAGTAGCCGTCTTAAAGATTCCTGGTTTACCTGGACGCAACTTCTAGACCCCCAATTATCTGACCTAGCTTCCAAGCCCTGACAAAAAGAGAATAGCAACGTCCAGATGTTTGATAACCGATGTAAAGAGCTGTGCAACTTTAAAACCGATGACCTCTGCCCGTTATCTTTTTCAGTGACTTCTGATAGATGTGGCTAGAACCTAGATAACTGTTACCTTTTCTGTGTGATTGGCTTCATCTGGGTTCTGCTCTGCCTCTTCCTCCACTTGCTCATACTGTCCATTGTTTAGGACCCAAGCAGCAGTCCTTTCCACAGGTGACATAGTGGCAGAATCTACAGGCGACTGGATCTGCAGGTAGAATGATATGGATCTCAAATGCATTTAAATTCCAGAATTGGTGTTTTTTTTTGTATTATCTTTATGTTTGTTCCAGGTATTGTCAATTTTCAAAATGACTCTGACAGAGGCATTTTTTTGGTTTTGTTTCTCAGCTGCCACACAGATGTGGGGGAGGATAGGAATGCTATTCTATGGGGTGCTAGACATAACACAGGAAGAGGCTGGTAGAGTTCCAAGGTCATCTCAACAAGTGCTGGGCAAGAAAGAGGGGAGTGCTGAAGAGACTGCCATTTAGCCAGTTGGACTATGTGTTTTGGGACACTTGGGGGGGGGGGAGAGAACTCTTTACTCTTTTAATTATACTGAACCACGGGAAATATTTAGAGTTGACTTCACGCTTGAATGTGCCAATATGATGCACCCAATATAGAATCTTTGAGAAGAGTTCCGGTTTCAGAGTTCTGACTTGGTTGGGATCATTACTCGGAACCATGACATCAAGTCAACTCTACTAAACCAACCCTCCGTGTCCTGAGCCCCAGCCGCCTGCCCGGGAAGATGGGTAAGACTCAGGGAAGATGGTGGAGAGGGTGAAGGACAGATGCCAGCTGGATCCATTGGTGGAGACTATGTCCCCTGCGATCCAACCATCCCTCATCTGTTGGAGCCCATGTTTACTTGCAGTAGCCCGACTTGTTAGTCTGCCTTCACAGCTGGCTGAAGTGGAAAGACTGGAGGGGCCATGGCAAACCCCCGGGGGTCTTGGACTGTACCAATGGGCTTACCCCCCGAGCCCTGGTTGCTACTCTGGCTATTGGACGCCTCTATCTCTGCTGGTGGACCCCCCTCCAATTTGGAGTCAGACAAGATGGCCTTCTTCAACAACACAGACAAGCTGGCCTCCTTCCTGAACTAGGTACTGGCTCATTTAGATTGCTATGTCTTATCCTACCTAACTGGGAGGGTGATGGTGAATGTTGTAGCTGCTAACCTGGACGTGTACGCTGTGGAGTGGGTGGACAGCCGCTATGATGAGTTATCACCTGCACTCTATGACAGTGACAATGAGGTAGAAATCCACCCCTTCACTATTCCCATTAGAATTGTAGTGCCCAAGTTGGCGTGACCCAACAAATGTGCGCATGACAAAAGCGCGCCGACAAAACCATGCCAAGAAAACCACGACGTCAAAATCGCACCCACAACAGTGCGCTGACAACAGCACGCCAACAAAAGCGCGATTAGGGTTAAGGTAAGGGTTAGGGTTAGGTTCAGGGTTAGGTTTAGGGTTATTACGTTGTTTTCGCGTTGTTTGTTGAAGGCACGCTTTTGTCGGCGTGCTGTTGGTGCGATTTCGGTCACGGTTTTCTCGCCGCGGTTTTGTCTGTGAGCTTTTGTCGTGCGCGCATTTGTCGGTGAACCCCATGTTGGAAGATCAGGAGAGGTTCAATGCCCTAATGGACTCTGGTTGCACTTGGTGTTTAATGAGCCTGCCGACTGTGTTGAAACTGGGAATCTAAGCAAAGTGGCTGTTCAGGGCCTCGAGATTCGAGCAGATCAATGGCTCGCTAATGGGGAGGGGGACCCCATTTACCCACCTGACCAAATCAGTGCAGCTAGAAATGGGCCAGCACTGGGAGATGAATCAGTTTGTAATAGTCCCACAAATGACTGAAGCGGTGATCCTGGGAGTGGTTGGACAAGTGGGGCCCAAAGATATGGTGGGAAGGGGGAAACAGGAAGATACTGTAGGGAGAGGCCTTCTTTCTCCTCCACATGACCAGGACATGCCGTCCCTGCAGCAAAATGCAGGTGATAGCCTGAATACTCAAATGCAACATCAGAACAACCACCAGGGACCCAGATCATCTCCAGAGAGTACCAGGATCTGGTGGAGGTATTCAGGGAGAAGGAGTGTGATGAACTGCTTCCACACTGCCCTACAGATTGCACAATCAAAATCATATCAGCAGCAAAATTACCTAAGCCCGAAATGTACTCCATGACCCCTAGGAAGTTGAGGGAGTATATCGACAAGAACTTTGCCAGAGGCTTCATCCAACCAGCAAAATCCTGCGTGGGCTTTAGAGGGATTAATAGAGTATGTGTGGAAAACGCGTAACCCTCCCTCTGATGAAAGACATTCCAGCACACCTGGCAAAGGGAAAGATATTCAGCAAACTAGACTCGAGAGAGGCATGTTATTGTGTCAGTATGAAAGAGGGGAATGAGTGGGAAACGGTATTCAACTGCCCGCTCGGAAGCTTCCAGTTCAAAGTGATGCCGCTTCGGCTACAGGGAGCCTGTCAGCTCCTCTTCATTTACTAATTAGGAAAGAATGACCACGAGTCTCCATGTGTGGAAATC